CCGCGTCGCTGGATTCATGAGGGAAGCGCTGCCGGCCCTCGACGCGCTGCCGTACGTCGAGCGGTACGCTTGGTTTAGCGCCGCGCAGGACAGTGGGCCGCTGGGCACTTCGGCCCTATTTGACGCGTCGAATCAACTGACGCCGCTGGGGGAGATTTACCGCAACGCCTAAGGCGTCGCTCTCAGTCGCTCGTCGCTAGGGCCGCTGCGTGCTCAATCCGCTTGTAAATTCGAGGTCTCTGTGAATCTGCACTGCAAAGCCGTCGGTATTGCTCTGGCGCTTCTCATATGGTTTGGGGGCGGCGTCAATCTGATGGCGGCGCAGCGGCCCAATGTCGTCGTCATCTACGCCGACGACATTGGCTACGGCGACCTCGGCTGCTACGGCGCTAAAACGATCTCCACGCCACGCATCGATGAACTCGCTGCGAACGGCTTGCGGTTCACCTCGGGATACGCTACCTCGGCGACGTGCACGCCCAGCCGGTTCAGCATCCTCACGGGTGACTACTCGTGGCGAAAGCCGGGGCGGGGCATCGCGCCGCCCAACGGCGCCGCGCTGATCCAGCCGGGCGTCCCGACGATCGCCTCGGTGCTCCGCGACGCCGGTTATCGCACGGCGATGATCGGCAAGTGGCACCTCGGTCTGGGCGTCCCACCGAAGCCCAATTGGTCGGGCGAGATCAAACCGGGCCCCCTCGAAGTCGGCTTCGATGAGTGCTTCATCATGCCAACCACCAATGACCGCGTGCCGTGCGTGTATGTCCGCGATCATCGGGTCGTCGGCCTCGACCCCACGGACCCCGTGGATGTCTTCGATACGAACCCCGACGGACAGGCCACCGGCGTCACGGACCGTGACAGGCTACGCGTCGATTGGTCTCACGACCACAACGACTCCGTCGTCAACGGCATCGGCAGGATTGGCTTCATGGTGGGCGGCAATGCTTGCCGCTGGACCGATGAAGAGATGGCCGACACGTTTGTTGGCGAGGCGCGGCAGTTCTTGACGCAGAACCACCAGCGGCCGTTCTTCCTCTTCTACTCCGCGCACCAAGCGCATGTGCCGCGAGCGCCGCACCCACGATTCGTCGGATCGACCCCGCACGGGCCGCGTGGCGACGCCATCGCCGAGTTCGACTGGTGCGTCGGGCAGATTGTCGAAGATCTCAGAACCAGTGGTCAACTCGACAACACGCTGATCCTCATCGGCAGCGACAACGGACCGGTGCTGGACGACGGGTATCAGGATCAAGCGGTCGAGCTCCTCGGCGAGCACCGCCCCGCCGGTCCCTATCGCGGCGGCAAGTACAGCCGCTTCGAGGGGGGGACGCGCGTCCCCTGGATCGTCCACTGGCCCGCACGCATCAAGCCCGGCGCCTCGGACGCCCTGATTAGCCAAGTCGATGTGCTCGCCTCGCTCGCCACGATCACCGGAGCAAACATCCCGAAAGGGGCGGCGTCCGACAGCCTCGACCTCAGCGCGACGCTGACGGGCGAATCGACTCAAGGCCGTGAGTTCGTTGTCGAGCACTCGGGGATGGCCAGCGCCCTGGCGATTCGGCAAGGCGACTGGAAGTACATCGAGCCGTCGCCCGGCCCCGCTGTTCTGGGGGGCAAAGCCGCCGAGACCGCCAACCATCGCCAGGACCAGTTGTACAACCTCGCCGACGACGCCGGCGAGAGGCGTAACGTCGCGAGATCGCACCCGGCCAAGGTGGCGGAACTCAAAAGCCTGCTCGCCTCGGTGCGCGCGTCCGATCCACAGCTTACCTCGTCTGGAGGAGACGCTACCGGTGAATAGGTTTCATCTCAATCGATGGCGTCTCTCTTCGGCGATTCGGCTTAGCACCGTGCGATACGCACTTTCGATGGCAATTGCTGGGACGCTCTTTGCGTTCACCCTGCATTCAACGCACGCGGCGCCGAATCTGGTGATGATTGTCGTCGATGACCTGGGGTGGGCCGACGTCGGCGCCAACAACCCGGAAGCGTTCTACGAAACGCCCAGCATCGATCGCTTGGCGGCCTCCGGCGTACGGTTCACCAATGCCTACGCCACGTGCTCGGTCTGCTCGCCCAGTCGCTACAGCCTGTTGACGGGACGTTACCCCGCGCGCGCCTACGTAACGGACTGGTTTACAGGGGATCGAACGGGCCGCTTTAGCCATGCCCCTTACGAGAGCCGCTTGCCAGCCAACGAGCTCACTATCGCCGAAGCTCTGAAGGAAGCGGGCTATCGGACGTTCTTCGCAGGCAAGTGGCACTTGGGGGATGCGGAAGAGGACTGGCCCGAGCACCATGGCTTCGAAGTCAATCGCGGCGGGCACGGCGCGGGATCGCCGCCGGGCGGTTACTTTGCTCCGTACAAGAACCCGCGTCTCGCCGATGGTCCGGCAGGCGAGCATCTTCCCAGGCGTCTCGCTCGCGAGACCTGTAACTTCATCGAGGCCAATCAGGAGAGACCGTTCTTCGCGTGCCTCTGGTTCTACGAAGTTCACAATCCGCGGCAGGCGCCCGAAGAGCTGATCGAGAAGTACCGCAGTAAGGCCGCCAAGCTAGGTCTCGATCCAAAGGGAAGTTTCAAGACCTGCGAGCAGGTGTGGCCCGTCAAGGCGGCGCGGCAAGTCCGCGTCGAGCAGAGCCAGCCCGAGTACGCCGCGATGGTTGAGTCGATGGACATCGCGGTGGGTACAGTGCTCGATAAGCTCACCGCGTTGGGTCTTGATGACGACACGCACGTTGTCTTTACGTCCGACAACGGCGGTCTCTCCACGGCCGAAGGACTCAACACCAGCAATCTGCCGCTCGCCGGCGGCAAGGGTTGGCTCTACGAAGGGGGCGTCCGCGTCCCGTTGATCGTTCGCTCGCCCGCCGCGACGAGCAAGCCCGGGAGTGTCTGCGATGCTCCGACCACGGCGACGGACCTCTATCCAACATCGCTCGCCTTGCTGGGGCTGGCCCCACGCCCGGATCAGCACCTCGACGGCGTCAGCATGGCGCCACTCTTGAAAGACGAGCGGATCGAGCGGGGACCGATGTACTGGCACTACCCCCACTACAGCAATCAGGGCGGCTTCCCAGGCAGCGCTATGCGGGACGGGCGCTGGAAGTTGATCCAGCGGCACGAAGATGGTCGCGTTCACCTTTACGATCTGGAGTCGGACATCGCCGAGCAACAGGACCTAGCGGAGGAACAACCCGAGCGCGTCGCCCAAATGCTCGAGCAGCTCGAAGCGTGGCGACTTGAGGTAGACGCTCGCTTCTTGGAGCCGAAGGGTGGCAATAAGCCTTGGCGCCCCGGGGGCTGAACATTTGCCGCATTGGTGAGCGTCACCCACTAGGCTGATGTACGGCTACACTTAGCGTGACCTACAAGGCCTTCGTACGGCGCCGACGCCCGCCGGCATCTTTGCAGCGGTTCCATGATGATCAAGTTCCCTCAACTCGGCCCCGTTATCTGCGTCGCGTGCTGCGCGATGTCGGCACATGTCGCGGTCGCCGATTGGCCCGCCGAGTCCGCTCCGCCGCCCGCCCTCGAACAAGGGGGCTACGAGCTTGCGTGGGCCGACGAGTTCGACACCGACGGCGCGCCCAATCCGGCCAATTGGAGCAATGAACACGGCTTCGTCCGCAATCAAGAGTTGCAGTGGTACCAGCCGCAGAACGCGACGGTTGATGAGGGGAAACTCGTCATCCAGGCCGTTCGTGAGCGCGTCGATAATCCTAATTACCGCGAGGGGAGCCGAGCGTGGGACACCCAACGCGAGTTCGCGGAGTACACCTCGTCATCGCTCAAAACTCAAGGCAAGCGAGAGTGGCTTTTCGGCCGGTTCGTGATGCGCGCCAAGATCCCGACCGCGCCGGGCATGTGGCCGGCGTTTTGGACGCTCGGGGACGGTAGCTGGCCCCGCTGCGGTGAGATCGACGTGATGGAGTACTACCGCGGCATGATCCTCGCCAACGCGGCGTGGAAGGGTAAAGGCTGGAAGCCCAAATGGGACGCCGTCCAGGCGCCGATCGATCAGCTGGGCGACGCCAACTGGGCCGATCAGTTCCACGTCTGGCGTATGGACTGGACAAGCGAGCGGATCGATCTCTACGTTGACGACCGGTTGATCAATTCGATCGATGTCGCCGCAGCCGACGGCAGCGGTCACAACCGCGCAAACCCGTTCCGCAAGCCGCACTACCTGCTGATAAATCTCGCGCTGGGTGGAATGAACGGTGGAGATCCAACCGATGCGAGCTCACCCGCTCGCTACGAGATTGATTACGTTCGCGTGTATCAAGTCAGCGCCAGTGGCGAAAGTGCTGATCGATAAAGCGAATGGTTGGCCAGACACGAATAATCGTCTGAACCGGCTTCGGTAGAGGCGTTATGGTGATGAAATTGTATTCCCCTGTTCAGTTGATTGTCGTCCCTACACGTCGAAGTCGCTGAGGTGAGTCAGGCCTCTGCGGTTCCGAACCGGCTCCAATCTGCGTAGGACCGACACCCGAATGGCACGTAGTTCTCTGCAAGTCGTTGCGGTGAAGTGATCGACGAGAAAGGGCCTCGCTCGCCTAGATGAGAGTTGTCACACAACCCATCCACGGCAAGGAGGCCCAGAGATGCAGACTTTTACTGATGGACGCTGTCAAAGCCAGATCAGTTTTCTGCGGCGGCAGTTCTTGCAGGGCGACGATCTTCCCTTCGGCGAGGTGCTCTCGAAGAAAGCCGTATCGCAAGCGCTCGCGACCTCTGGCGTCGTTTGGAAGCAGCGCGTCTACTCGCCCTTGGTGACGCTGTGGGTATTCCTCGGTCAGGGCCTCAGCGCCGATCATTCGTGCCGATCAGCGGTCGCTCGCTTGATTGCGCATCGTGTCGCCCAAGGCGAGTCCATGTGCTCGGCTGAGACGGGCGCTTACTGCCAAGCCCGGAAGCGGCTCGCAGAGAAGTTTTTCTCGACGGTGGCAAGGTTGGTGGGCCGGGAGTTGGACGCTCAGGCGCCCTCGGACTGGCTCTGGAAGGGGCGCCGTGTCCACCTGTTCGATGGCTCGACGGTCTCCATGCCGGACACGCCGGCGAATCAAGACGCTTACCCGCAGCACGACGCTCAGCGCCCGGGGCTCGGCTTCCCAATAGCCCGCATCGCAGCGATCTTCTCGCTCTCGTGAGCGACTCGCTCGAGACAACGCTGGTGAGCGAGGCGTTGCGTGACGCGGTCGAGAAACGGCGGCCCAGGCACGGCGAGCTCTTGCATCACAGCGACCGCGGCTGCCAGTACACGAGCGACGGCTACCAGAAGACGTTGAGAACGCTCGGGATCGAGGTCTCGATGAGCCGAACGGGGAACTGCTACGACAACGCCGTCGCCGAGCGATTCTTCTGGAGCCTCAAGCACGAGTGGACCAACTGGAGGGCACACGCCACGATGGACGAGGCCCGGCTGAGCGTCTTCCGCTACATCGAAACGTTCTACAACTCCAGGCGGCGTCACCAAACGCTCGGCTACAAGTTTCCCGATCAATTCGAAGCCGACCACGCCCCGGCTCTAGCGGCGTAAAATGCGAAGCCCCGCCGGTGTCCGAAAGTACTGGGCTATCGCACGCCCACAAGCTCAACGCTCACGGGCGCGGAAGCCCTTGGCGACTGGACAACCGACGCCCCGGGCGTGCGGCGAAAGATTACAGTCGAGGACTTAGCAAGGCCCTACGCGACGCCGTCGGCGCAGAACCATCCCCGCATTGTCGATCGCCCCGAGGGGGCTTGGCCGCAGGCGCCGGCGGGATTCGAGGTGACCGAGTTCGCGACGGGGCTCGAAGAGCCTCGGGTGATCCGCCGCGCCCCGAACGGGGACCTTTTCGTGGCCGAGAGCCGCGCCGATCGCATCCGCATTCTTCGCGACACCGACGGCGACGGCAAACCCGAGGTCAACCAAGTCTTTGCCACGGGCCTGAAGCGGCCTTTCGGGATTGCCTTTTACCCCGTTGGATCGGAGCCAGAGTTTATCTACGTCGGCAACACTGATTCGGTGGTCCGCTTCCCGTACAAGAATGGCGACACGAAAGCCT